TGAACTTTTACGTTTGACTCGAGAGAACGCGACATTCGATTTTGAGATTCTTCAATAATGGCGGCTATTGTACGATGTTCTTTTTGCACATCAAAGTCTAGTTGAATTCGAAAGGTCCGGTTTTCAAGGTATTCTTTGGCATAGTAACAGATGTAGACACCACATGAGAAATAGTCATCATCAGCTTGTTATAATTCTAATGTGGAAGAAATATTGTACCTTGCAACTTAATTCCATGCTTGACGGTCTTTAGAATATGACGAAGAATACATCAGTGATCTTTGTCTAGAAGTGGCTTCTTATTCTCGTCTAACTTGGGCTTAGAATCGTATAAATGGAAAATTGTCTATCCGCCAACCCCGCCTTTGTTATAGATAGCCAACATCCAATGTTCTGCGTCTCGTCACGCATCTGATTGTCAAATGTGGAACGGCAGTAATAGTATTTCAAATTAATTATCGCCCACTAGAAAATGTGCAGCCGGATACGCGTTGGTATTTTCTTTAATCTGACCAAGGACATTTTCATTTAAGGGATAAAACTTGACTGTGTAGTTTGGATGAATAAACGCAAACTTAATTTGAAATTGTGATGCCACCCATTGTAAAAACTTGGTGATCACTTCTCCTTCAAGCTAACCTTTAGGATTTAAGATGGACACATGAGATACTTGATCCAGGTGTTCCGGAAGTTGATTCGAGAAATTCATAGTCGATTGCTTATCGATTGAAAAGTGTGTTGATAAACAACGGTAATTTGACAGACAGACATTGGCACTTTAATATAGTAGGCCGTAATTTGCAATCTTTGACATCTAGGTGATTTCGTTCATTTAAATTTTCGACCGAATTCTATATCTCGGGAACCACAAAAAAAGGTACCATAATTTTGGTGTCATTTTGATTCTCTAAGTGTCCCTAGCTTATATCTGAGTCCGATAAGGTTTTGGCTTTCTCTATAGTAGGATTACTTAACAACTATACATTTTTTCATTTCGAGATTTGAGTTTATGTTTAGTTGTTACCATGACAAGTAGCCCTACCGTAAGTAAGTTGGCAACTACACATTTCCTTACCACCGAATGAAAAAATCCAAAGGTTGGAAGTATTTTACAAATTATTTGCCTAAGAAAACAAAAATACAAATACCTATTGTTCGCAAAGTGATTTTGAAAAAAAATACAGGATGGAGATTCTTCTACTTTTCCGAACATGTCCAACAATTAATTCTCATGAAAAGTCCCATCTCTAATTCAAAGTAATATGAATTTAATATCACTGCATTTACATATTTATCATGAATATAGTATATATTTTTGCAGTGTTTCTCCACTTTAATCGAAGCAGGTCACCTTTTAAACATTCAAAAAAGTATAAAACCATTGTACACATATATTCCTAATGTTGTGCATAATTCATTTATCAAAATGTACTAATTTAATTCTAATTATTACCTTTTCTTTATAGGTCGATGGCTTCAATTGAAGAAAGTAATGTACTTACGTATTGTGGGTCATCAAGTTTAATATAACCCAATTTATTTAAAACAATTCATCAACATCTGCTTCTGAAAGTGAGCAATGATGAGGGGAAATATTTCATCACTATTATGTACCTCGGAAACATTTATAGTGGGTTGCATAAAAGAAAATTAAATTTTAAACCCAGGATAACACATTTTATTCATGGATATTTAGTATCTTTAGATTTTGTTATCTAAGATAATATCATAGTTGGATTGTATTATTTTAAGGATTATATTGACATTTGTATACATTAATTTGAAGTTTGACTTCATATATTGATAATATTTAGTAAATTTATCTTGCCTAATTCAATATTCCGTAAAGTTCTTCTTGTTCTTTCTTGTAGCGGATTCGACTGACTGCATTAATGCTCATTTAGTTCGACTTTTTTAAGTGATGTTGGTTTGACTGGTAGAACCTAATTAATTAAAAGTCAATTATTGCATTCGACTGAAATTGCTCAGTACCAAGGCATAGTGAAATTTTTGTTCGACTGGCAGGCGCTCTTGCTCAAAGTTCGAATTTTTTGGAACTGTACTTTTTTTAGTGCCAGTGTCATTTTGGAGGTTTTTATTTAATATCTTTAAATATATTACCATATTTGTCTCTGTTATTAGCGAGAATGGAAAATCTTTGAAATTATTAGAGATTTAATGTTTGGTTTGGCAACTATAAATAAATATCGTTAAAAGTTTGTTAGAAACCTGAAATGGCAAGTCCTCACTGTGCCAGTCGAATAAGAATAAAGATACGCTACACTATTGTCGAACTTAAGCTCGTGCTTGCTATGTGTACTGCTAGATATGAATTTGAATGATAGAAATGCTGCCCAAAATCAATTCAGAACTGAAAGCGCTTTGTCATCGAGCAAGAGCATTTGAGTAGAATCTGCTATTACATTAATTTTGTTAACTTTTTAAAGTCAAACATCAATCTAATTAAATGACAACTATTTTGACGGATCAAAGAATTAAAATGTGGTTCGTTCACAAAATAATAGGATTTTCTTATCTAGAAATAATAAATATCCATAGATAAAATGTTTTATCTTGGATTTAAAATTTAATCTTCTTTTATGTAACCCACTATTAGAGGTAAACTAAAAGTATAAAAATGTATCATATGTAGTTTTAAAAGTTATTCACAGTATTTCTTGAAAAAGTTAATTTGGACCATTTAGAATCTCAGTTAAGATTGCTTGTTATGTATTAAAATAATAAATATTTAGATTTCTACTAAAAATTTATACAGTGTGAACCACCGAAAACTTTACACCCTATTATTTTGTATTGATACGAAAAATAATCCAACTGGTCAATTTTAGAGAGGAGCACTTTTTTCTAATTGCTGCATTGGTACTACTTCAAACCTCGAACAGTGGGGTGAACAAACCCTACAATTTAAAAAGGAACAGTACCAAGATGACACATCATTGAAAAAGTAGTTTAATATACATCCTGCATTATTCCAGAAGCAATAAAGAGCTACAAATATACGACATAATACCAATGACCAATGATAACGCTTTCATCTTACACAACAAAATTAACAGTTTCTTTTTGAATGAGTAAACAGATTTCAATTCTCAAATGTGACCAATTTAAAAATAAAAACAAAGGAAATAGAAAAAATTCGAAGTCCATGGCACAGAAACGTCAAGAAATCTTTCAATCCTGAAAACAACTACTCTTTTGGTTAATACCTCAATAGGCATTGCATTATATCAAAAGGAAAGGAATATTGCTGATAAGTTTATAATAAGGATAAAACTGGTTGAAAAATGACGTTCTTAGGAAGCAAAATCATAGTTAGAGTGTTGAAAAATATTTTTCCTACGACCACTTAGGAAAGTGACACATATCACACTATATAGTCCTATGGAAAGTGTCCTATATCACACGCGTATGACTAAGAATTTACTTTCCACCCAAGTGAGAATATGTTACTTTCCGCAGTAGTTGTCAAAAAATGTCAAACGCCTAATTTCTATTTTGATCTATGTAATGTCCATATGAAAACTAAAATCGATATGATTGTTAAATTATTGAAATTGTTTTAAATTAGATCCTAGATATTTATCTTTAACAATTATTATTAAAATAATTTTAAAATAACTAAGATTATGTTTGCTCTTTAATTTGGGTAAATACATAACCGATTAGATCATTCAATTGACGTAAGGCCCATTAGCTCAGTTGGTTTAGACGTCGAACTTATCAACTTTGCCATTTTTTGACCGCGTTCAATCTATGGTTCAAATCCTGGCGGAGCCGAATTTTTTTTTTGTTTTTTTTTTTTATTTTTTATTAGTTTTTTTTGTTTAGAAAATATGAAAATTGAATAAATACGATTATTGTTGATTATTTTTTTAAATACATTTTAATTAATATAGTAATAATAACCTTGGTTTTACATTTTTTTGATATTATTTTGTAAGCTAATTTCTATTTTGATCTATGTAATATCCATATTAATACTAAAATCGATATGATTGTTAAATTATTGAAATTGTTGTAAATTAGATCCTAGATATTTATCTTTAACAATTATTATTAAAATAATTTTAAAATAATGTTTGCTCTTTATTTTGGTTAAATACATAACCGATTAGATCATTCAATTGACACAAGGGCTGTTAGCTCAGCTGGTTAGGACGTCGAACTTATCAATTTTGCCATTTTTCGACCGCGTTCAATCTATGGTTCAAATCCTGTCGGGGCAGAATTTTTTTTTTGTTTTTTTATTTTTTTTTATTTTTTTTTTATTTTTTTAGTTTTTTTTGTTTAGAAAATATGAAAATTGAATAAATACGATTATTGTTGATTATTTTTTTAAATACATTTTAATTATTATAGTAATAATAACCTTGGTTTTACATTTTTTTGATGACATTATTTTGTGGTCGTAGGAAAAATATTGTACATCACTTGTGTGAAAAGTGATTTTCCACACTCGTGTGATAGTCGCACTCGGCTTGCGCCTCGTGCGACTATATTTCCCACTCGTGTGAAAAATGTCACTTTCCACACTCGTAATGTAATATACTATTTTATCTCTTCTATTTTCCTTTTGACATAATGCAATGTCTGTTGCAGTATTAGTCAAAAGAGTAGTTGTTTTCAGGAAATAAACGGTCGCTTGACGTTTCTGTGACAAGAACTTTGGGTTTTTCTTTTACCTTTGTTTTTATTCACTAAAATATTGGAATATCCACCTTATACATCGGATTTGTCTGTGTGACTTCTGGCTATTTATTTTAATTAATAAAAAACAGGGCAAAAGATTTTTCACTACAAAGAAACTAATACTGTAATTGAAAGTCTTTTGAAAACTTGATTACAGGGACCTGCTTGGACGATTTCAAAGAGTAGAAATGTCAACTTCAGTGGGATATTATTTTGAACACATTTTCTACTAATTTGAAACATGTTTTATCAAAAAACATTATAAGCATATCTAAAAATAAATAACTTACCACTAAAAATATTTGTTTCCTATAAACTAAATCATCCACACAACTAGTAATCACATGTTCCAGACTTTGGCACGGTTTGCTAAACAAAAATTCATACTGTAATATATCACAGAGTTCTTGGACATTCTCGACCAGTTCCTGGTGAATTACGTTTCCTGAAGATTTGTCTATCGCTTCTATCGCTATGGCTATCACCGATTCCAAAACGAAATGCGTTACTAGAGTATTGCTGTAATACGACAGTTCGATGACGTTGGGCAAGATTGCAATTGGTTTGATTATGTCCTCGTTGTTGTGTTTTTCTTTCCTAATTAATCCCGGACCTAACTTTTCAACCTGTAATTTAAACATACATATTATAGTATTATATTAACTATAAAATTGATATATTCAAATACATAAAAGTGACAGAAGTGTATGGTGTTTAAAAACTAATTTTAACATTATAGTCTAAAAATGAATAATTTCCCCTTTTTTCAAACATTATTGTTGTTGCCGGTTCGTTACAAAATTTATAAAAAACATTTTTTTATCCTTAGGCATTCCAAACAAATGAATTGCCAGTGGGAAGGTTTGGTATATCTAAGGGTGGCGACATACGGTGTATTCTATCTACTTTACGTAAAATCGTGAATAATGGATAACATTTAAATATTTTATGTCAAACACAATAAAAATAATATTTAAAAAACCCACCTATACATGTCTTCATAAATTGGCAGGCTTGGCGACTACTACTTCGAATAAAAATAGCATCCAAGTTGCAAGATTATGTCGCTACCCCCCTTAGATATACAAGAATTTCCCACTGGCACCTATTGTTTGACAGGTCGTTGGAATGCCTAATACCAAAAGAAAACTCAATTTTGACGTTTCTATAGAGACGTCAAAACGCATCTTTTCTTGGCTAGCCCGGCAAAATAACTATAAATGACTAGCCAGTAAAATAATCGCATTAATTTGCCGCCAGATGGTGCACCACTTAATTTTGACACTTCCTTTCACAATTTATTATTAAATTATTTTTGTTGCATTGTTTATAAAGAATAGAAACTTATTTATTCTGCTAGAGGTCATGTGTGTGATATTTATCTGTGAGTGATGTAAAATAGACAATTATAAAGATAGGTCACATGCCACAATGCACATATATTTTATATCTGTTGCTGTCAAGTAGTTAATATATAAATAATTTCTGGCAATCTAGTGTCATTTTCTTAAATATTTGTCATTTTTGTGGTTGGTACTAATGCGGAATTATTTATTTAAATTCAAATTTCTTTTAAAGAAGCAATAACAATCATTTAATTTTAGTGTAGGATAAAGTTTGCTGTTGGTTCAGGATAAAAAATAGTATGTAAACCACGACAGTAAAGTAGTTTTCCAGACCTCGCAAATGGATACTTTGCCTCGCTTGTCCATATCTTTACTCGGCCTGGAAAACAGCTACTTTATTGCCTAGGTATACAATATACTATTAATTGCAGTTCCTAAAAATTAACGAAAATAAAACATAATGTGTCTTTAACACCGAATACACTACTACATATTGTTACCCTGCACCCTGCAGTAACTTGGGGTTGTTACAGGAAATGTACAAATAAAAAAGTGCAATGTCACCTTACAGTGTGCTGCGGTTGTTATAAGTAAAAGTATGAATAAAAGAAGAAGAAAGAACACTCTAGAAATGCCTACAAATGTCATTCCGTGTCTAGAAACATCTGGAAGTTTCAAGAAAATCCAGGAAGCTATATGTGGCATTCATAAAAAACTTTATAGGTCCTGGGTTAGCTTTTTGTTTATTTTTTTTTTTTTTGTAGAAATTGGATTAAATTTCAGCCATCTAAGATAGTTTACCAAAATATTTAACAAAACTTCAGTTCCATTGAAACAGCAATTACAAATAAAACTAAATTAATCCCAGTAACATTTTACAAAAAAGCTAATTATATCATAATTATCTGAACCGAACTTATACATATAAGCCGATACTAACTTCAGCACCGTACGACACGATTTGACATACATTTTCAAAATTTAATAACTCCTTTAATTATAGGTATTTCTTCAAAATAATATTTTTGCACATTCTAGGAAAGTCTAAATATTAATGTTTTACTATTTACATAATAAATCTCTGTATACAATTAAAAATAATACAATAAATAAGGTGAGTAGGAAAACATGAAAACAATGAGTATAAACATTCCAATTATGCTCCAATTACAAGTTGTGTATATTTAATGTACGTATTAAAATTTACTTACAGCATAGTTGATAACATCAATTGAATCCCCAGTGAATCCAATATCTCTTCTCGCGTAATTTAATTCACTTCTTAGATCGTCTAAAGCTACCACTAGTTTCTCAATACTGGCTCCATCCCTAAATTTGGTTAGTAATAAATAGGCCAACGCGTTCGTCGACATCACAGAAGTTGATTGAGCACAATCTACAATAAATAAAAATTCGTTGCTCAAAAAAAAAATTGTTTTTTTAAAACTAATACAACATGTAGTGAGATATGAAATAGTTATTTATGTACCAAGTCAGCAAAGCGATTCTTTATCGTACTAGTCTGAGATTATTAGCTGAGCGAGGCGAGTAACAGGCGAGTTCGATAAAAACACTTTGCTGGCGCCAATCGTAAATAAAATTATATTTAATAAAAAAAAGTAGATATTATAACATCATATTTTCATTTTAGTAGGTAAGACAAAGTAAAAACACGGAATAATAACAACGAATACAAAATAAAATCAGTTACAGACTATTTCTGTCAAACGGCCATAGACTCCATTTCACGAGAGAAGAACCCAGCTGAAGTTACAATGACAGTCGCAGAAACCAAATTACGTCTTTTTTACCTACGCCACTGGAATAGAATGAACAATTTTATGCCGATAACCATTTATTGTATTTGGTTGTATAAGGGTTGTATTTTCACCCCTACTTCCAATTTCCACTAATTCAATAGCATATTAATTGTCCATGTGAATGATTGATTTATGCGATAAAAATCCATGAAAGTGATCATTCCTTTCTAGATTACATATTCAATAGTCTATAAGGGATTTGGAAATTGCATGTTTTTTTTTTTATTTCAACATTTCTTGCATTAAAACTGGTCAGAATGATAACACCATTTCCATATTGTATATTTATTTAAGCATTAAATTTGAAATGATTACGCTACTGATTTGAAGTCTGCGCTGGTTATGACGGCACGTTCGTGCATAGAACTGCAACTTCAGGTGGGTTCTTCTCTCGTGAAACGGTTTCTACATATGTTTGAAAAATATAAGCGGCAGATAAAATATTTGATTTTTACAATGACCTAAAGTGTTTGTTTACTTCCGTAAATCACTATGGTAATGCATGGCTTTATTGACAGAGGGCGGCGATAAAAATATTTAAAAGTAGTGAAATTAAATTTCAAGCTGAATACTTCGTAAATTTTATTTCAATTCAGCTATGATATTTGTTATCGGCTAAGTGCAGGGACAGAATCCAATAAGCCAACTATATGGCATTGGCATACAAAACTATATCAGCAAATAAAAAATGATGATATTCTAGGAATGTCTACTGATATAGCTATAACCACATACTGTGTGGTGGGTAAACTACAAAATATATTAAAAAATTCTTTATCACAAATATATAACTCGGTGGCAACTACAATTTAAAATTAGTTTCACATATACAGGATATCCCAAATTTTAAGTTCAACTCTTAAAAATAATCTTAGTTCTATAAAGATTCCTTATAAAATATAGAAAAGAAAAAATGAGTACATCGGTCAGATATTAAACCTGGAACCTCTGAATATAGCCCTCGGCGTCTTTACCAATTGGACTACTGCAATATATTTAACCCTAATTTGAGGGTAATTGCAACTAACTAATTATGGTCTATGAATTAAACACAATATGTTGACTCTACAACCATTTAATTCCAACTGGTATTTCAACTGCGGTACAAAATATAAAAATGTCTCTACAAGGTAAGAAATTAAATTTACAGGGTGTAACAATTTGAACCTATAAAATAATATGAAATAATTATATTAGATATTCCACAACTACCGAAGCACATAGCTACGTATTTGTTTAGTTCATTCAGATTCCAACTCTCGACGACACACATTCTCACCCCTCTCCCAGTTGTTTCAATCCTCCTTAAAGACACCTTTGCAACGACCTAGAAAAAGACGCCGTACTTAGCTTACACTAAATTATAGTCCAAGATCCTTAATTCGTTCGCTACGAAATGCAAGAAAATCTGTTTAAATTCAAAAACTAAAATATGCAATTTTTGGATATATATTGTTTTCTTAGAATATATTCTAGTACAAGCTTGTGATGTGAGGCGAGAATATTCTCGAGAAGGAGGATATTTTCGGGTAGAAAACGCGCCCGAGCGTTGCCATCGGATATCGATTTTTACCGAGAAAAATGGACCGCGGGGAATCCCAGACATGTATTTGTAATTCTTCGTGTCATAGACATTATAGACATTATAAGAATTATTTTCTTTTATTGAACACATAAATCGGAAAAATTAATAGGATAAGGGGTAATAAATAACCAAACCAAAAAGTAATGTGTGGAATTATTATAATATAAAAAACTTGAGGGGAAAACGGTTTATGTTTGCAAAATTTTGTGCAAGTAAATATGTTAAAAATGCAAGAAGAATGACAAAACACATGTTGAAGTGTCTGAAATATACCAGTAATATTAAAAAACGCTTTAAAATAGGGGAAAGTCGAAATTTATCCATTGCCTCTCTGATGAATACTGCAGATTCATACTTGAAAGGTATTGCCATGAAAATTTCTAAGCCGTCTTTGTCTAAACTCTAAAGCGAGCGACCTCGGAAGTCTGCCACTCGATTCATGATCGAAGCAACAATGACGTGTGAAGACAGTCGGACCGCGTCTCGAATATATAAGAAACGACGGAATCTTCGAGGTATGCCGCTGCTTTGAGAAACTGCCGTTGAGTCATAGAGATGGAATTTTCGGGAGCATCTAGAGACTACGAGCACAGAATTGAACTTTATAAAAATAGCCGACTCATCGGCACACAGTTTAGTTTAGTATAGAACATTGTAATGAAAAGTTAAAGTGTAATAAATTAATTAGAATTGTTAGCTAGTGTCTAAGTATTATATAAATTAAATAGTACGTCATAAATAAATTGTAAATAGTGTGTTTTAAATAAATAAACTATACATAAATTAGAATATCGTCACAGTTTGTAAATATTTAGTAGAGAGTATGATGTATGGTAAACTATATTTTTGTATCAAAAAGCATTCAAAAAAAGGAGCTGAAGGGGTATAATAAGTTTGTTGTATTTTATTGCCTGAATAGATATTTAATTTAAAAATAAATATTGAAGGGTTTATTTTAAAGGATGCGAGTGTAAGGGGACTAGGACAAAATTTAAAAATTAAAGCTATATTACACGGAGGGTGAAACAAGCTTTTTTTACTGAAGTTGAATTCAATTCAAGTCGTAACAAAACATTTATTTTCAGATCAAGGTGAAGTGGACGAGGCTTCAACTTCGACAACTGTCAGCATAACAGGTAGCGTATCAACTTCTAGTTTACGTAGGTTTATGGATTTCTCAAATGGAGAAGAGCAAGCACAGTTGGAACAACTATTTGCAAGGGCAATTTATGCTTCTGGAACACCATTTGCAATCTCGTAAAATAAACATTGGCGGTTATTCTTTCAAAAATTAAAACCAATTTTAAAATGCCTTCACGACATTCATTGTCTAATAAACTTTTAGAATCAGAATACGAAACAACAATCGCAGTCAACATAAAAGTTAAAATATGTGAAGCCAATGCTCTGGGTCTGCAGTATGATGGTTGGAGCAACGGAAGAAACGAGGCCATTATTATATCACCACACCTACACCTATGTTTTTTAAAACTTTTACTACTGATACAAATTAACATATTGCAGAGTACATGGCAGAAAAAATAGAAGAAGTACTAATAGAAATAGGACCAGAAATATCATTCATAAAAAGTATAAACATATATCTGTTTATGGTTGCGTCGCCCATACACTTATTGATAGGAGACATCTCAAAAATGCGAACGACGGCTTCGATAGAGGACGATGTTAAAGCTATCGTTAAAGAAATTATTAACTCGCATCTTTTACTGGCCACTTTAAAAATCCAGACTGAAAAAAAGGAGACAACAGAGCCAATATCTTTGAAGTTACCCGTTGAAACTCGTTGGGTATCAATTATTATTTATTGCTTAAACAGTCTGCTTGATACCAAATATGCCCTTAAAGTTTTAACAGTTTGTGAGACTGTAGATAATATATTGAGCAAGCGAATAGGAAAATTAATTTTAGATGAAAAAATATTCTGGGTACGAGTGTTGAAGTTGTTCAATTCGATTAACCCCATTGTTGAATATATAACCAAACCACAGTTTATGTTCGCTCACTCTGCGTCGGCACTTTTGATCTCAATGTTCCAGTTTTTACACTGCGCAACTCGGTTTTGTATCCCTGGCACATACAGAATCAATTCATAACCAGTACAATATATGACAACCGCCTATATTCAAACAGCATTCTTCTGCGCATCCTGAATTTGTATCCCTGGAATGGATATTATTTTGGAACATCCAATTGATCCGAGTGAGCGAACTGATTCTTTTAAGCTATAAACTATGACCAAACTAGAGTCAGATAAGCCTAAGCTTAGTGAAGTAATAGATTGTTTTTATATCCTAGAAAAACATTTTGAAATGGAACTTTCAAGTCCCCTTACGAAACAGGAAGAGCAAAATGTCCAGAAATTTTTTGCAAAAAGAAAGCATACTGCCATACACCCTATATATATAGAACCCGAGATTTGATGGAAAGCAACCTGTTTTGGGACAAAACTAAGTAAATTAGCGGTTCAAATTTTAGGAATGTCTGCAACTAGCGCTGCTACAGAAAGGAGCTTTAGTACATATTATGGTTTCATTCACTCCTCAAAAAGAAACCGACTGACTGCTGAGCGAGCCGGCCAAGTTACTTTATAGCTCATAATTTGAAACTATTGGACCAGGACCAGGTATGTCCAAGCCCTCCAAGTATAAAGAACATGAAGAGAACCCGTCTACTTCGGTCTACCAGTCACAGGGTGGTCTTGGAGAAACAGAGAGAGTGGAAATGATATTGGAGTCTGACGGGAGTAACGGATCGGAGTCGGACTCGTCAGAGGATGAAAATAGTGATGGTGATGTGGACAATTTTTCTGACTCAAATTGATTTTTATTTTTTTAAACTTAATTTTGTTTTGTTTAAGATTTTATTTTACATTTTTTAAGCTTTTGAGAATTATATTTTATGTTTTTTTATTTGTTGTCGAAAACGGAACATAAATGGTTTTATTTTGTTATTGTTTATGCTTCATCATAAATAAATCTTTAAAGTTTATTTAAACTTATGAGTTTCAAAACAGATTTTCGTCAGGAATCGTTTACAACTTAGAACGCTCATTGGTGAACACTGTCGTTATTGACTTAAATCGTTACACGATAAAAACAATGTAAATTATAGTATTTTTGTTGTTGCTAGTGAGAGTTATTAAAAGATGTATTTAATATGCCGCTCGAGTTTAGATGTCTAGATGTCACTGTCATTAAATTTGAGTTGGTTTTGGTAGATCGTTCTCAGAAAATTCTCATAATCCAGAATATTCTCGAGAATATTCTCCATTTTTTTATTCTAAAGAATTATCCATCACTAGTACAAGCTAAGCTTGCCATTCTTCTGTACGGTGTTGCAAAGGTGGCTTTAAGGATAATTCAAAGGGCTATCACCTAGAATCCAACTGGTAGAGGCACTGAGGGCTATACTCTGAGTTTCCAGGTTTGATCCACTTATTTTTTCTGTTTTTTATGTCTCTTAATTCAAATTTAGTTTAGATTTTGATTTTGTTAAAATTTTGAACCATTTTGGACGTTTTAGTCCGGTTTATAAATATAATCATAAAAGAGTTTAAATTTTTTGCTGGATTCAGTGATAGTTTTATAAATTCGAAATTTTAAATGAAAAAAATGATCTTTGGATTGTAATTCAACTATGTCATAAAAATGAAAAACTTACCATAAATGATATGTTTCGATATACTTTCTACAAGGTTCTTATGTGGTTCTGAAACTACATCTGTACCATACAAACTCGACATGGATGGATTTGATTTTAAAACTTTATTAGATACGCCATTTGGTATAACTATATTTCCATTTGCATTGAAAGTTTTAACTAACTCCTGAAAGTAAAAAGGAAAATTTGATTTAATTGTATCAAACACAAGTCTAGGAAATACACTTTCCAACAAGATATGTATTTTGAGATATAGATATGGCCATTGTGGTTTTGATATTTGTTTCTAAAATTTAAGACATGTTATTGATTAACAAAGACAATAAAATCAGGAATAAAAATATAAGATACAATAAAAAAAATAAACAAGTAAGTAACTATTAGATCAGTTTTCTAAGGGCAAGTGCAATACTTATTAAAAATGAATTTACAGATTACGTTATGACTATAGTGTATTAGTTATGATCAAAACAAAGCTATTTATAAATTAAATACCTAGTTTTTAAACTGTTAATATTTCATTTTGATGTTTTTACAAACACAATCTTTCTACATTCAAGTCTATTGGCGATTCAAATTAATTTTCGCGCGCCTGTCATTTGTCATCTATAAGTAGGATGTTTGTTTATTTACATGTTTTTGTTTTGGGCGGATTTTGTATTTGTGATTTTTTTAACTGTTTTTAGATAATATTCTCATTGTAATAGTATTTTTGAGTTTCATTTCGTGTTAATTTAAGTTTAAGTCTCGTGCTTTCGTCATAAATGTAATATTTATCATGTGTATGACTTAATTTGTTGGAAATATTCACCTATTGGCTGCTACAAGAACATCTAGAAATGTATTCACTAAATCCAGGACATGTTTTATTATGTGGTTTAAAGGACATTTCAGGTACCACACGTTTATTATGGATGAACTTATTTAAAAATCTTACTAGACTTATTCTAATATTATGAAGTGAATCATGTAGTACTTTGTATACATGTAAATGGTAATAAAACCGTCAAAAAATAAGATTACAGTTTGGTTTTAAACAAAGTTTTGTAAAATTTCAATATTGTGAATTTGTAGATATCCATTTATCGTAAAAAACAAAATTTTACGACTTGTACTTGGAAAATAATGAATACTTCAGTTTTGATTTTGACATTAACACCATATAGATTGCAATTTTCTGGGGACTTTTTCGCAGATTTCATTTTTAATATAAACACTATCACACGCTATAAGAAATAAACAAATTTAAAGCTAAAAAGTAAGAAAAAACTCGAATTGTAATTGATACAAATTAAAATGTAAACAATGAACACGAACGCCAATGTTGCCAAATGATGAACTGATTTTAAAACAAAATTAATAAATGAACTAAAATATAAAAAAAATCAATATAATAAATCGGTTTTATAAAAAAATCCTTAAATAAATATAGAGTATGATAACATTTTACCATACACAAATTTTGATTCTTAAATAAAAGGTCTTATCCACTTCTTCAAGAGCTAAAATCCGACGACGTTTTGCTACTTCTGGCAACAGTGAACGATATCCTACTTATAGGGACCTTCTACAAATTTCCTCCAGAGGGCGTATCACTTAGCTTGAATCACGAATAGGCACAAAAATATATTTTATTTTGGAGAAACATTCGTTGAATTTAAACAATTTGATACAAAGCATCCTTTCGTCATTATATTTCGTTTCACAACGCAACACCAAGCGGCATTTTCGTTTAACACTTATACCCAAATACGTTCCGAGATACAGAGTGTTTAAATTTAATTTTTTTATTTATTTTTATTATTTCAAAGCGTTTTAAAGGTATTGACTCGAAATCCGCAAAACGCTTTTGAAGGATAAATGTGCATTTTTTTGGGATGGTTTAAATATTTCTACTTGCATTCGTGCGAGAATGCCACAACTTTTTTTAATAAAAAAAATATGAGCCACTGACTTAAGTTTTTTTTTATAAAAATAACTTCGGCAATCACCCCGTGAAATATTTCGCACATATTTACAAACACCGTGTAGAATATATTATGATAAGAAATTAGGTCGCGCAAACAAATATTTTGTAGCTCTAATTAAAACTTATTTGCAATATAATTAGTATTTTTTAACATTTATAATTTATCGGTCTATAATGTTACTTTTATGTTTATATGCATACTTTTGACTTGCTTTCTTTATTACATTAATCTTTAAGGTAAGCACACGTGCAAGTAATTAAATGGGTTTTAATTACAATTCATTTACTTAACATTGTTTATTTATTATTATTTAAAACTATTAAAAAAAAAAAAAAAAATTAAAGAAAAAAGTAAAAAAGCTTACCCTTAATGAAAATGGCTGATTGAAATCAATCCTCATCATTCCATAATTGCTATTAAGAACTTTCCAAATACCACGTACAGCGGTACCAAATGTCTCCATTTCCTTGGGCTGTCCTAATTGTTCTCTTATAAAGTTACCATCGACTAATTTTTCGTAATTCACACTAACTGGCACCAATAACGCATCTTCTATAGTACCTGTCGAGTAAAAAAAGATTCACAATACTTGCAACTACCCCGTACATTTATTTATTTTTCAAATATTTGTGAGCATCATTTTTTTTTGTAATATTTAAATGAAGAATATATTTGCTCTCATGACGCTGATTTATATACATTTGTTATTAATAAGTGTTAGTTATAAAAATAAGTTTACGACAAACAGATATTTAAAATAAAAAGAAAATATATTACCATCCATAAAAGTTTCCAATATTACGCTAAGAATTCCATATTTTGGCATACAAGGTTTTCCGGTTCTTGTGCGGCCGCCTTCTAAGAAGAATTCTATGTTGTGTCCCGCTCTTAAGCACATGTTCATATAAGTGTGTAAAACGGCTTTGTATACGTGATCTTTACGTCCCATCACTGGGTCTATCCGACGTTTAATGAAAAATGCCCCAAGTCCTCGCAGTAGAGAACTAAAAAAAATTGAAAAGTTTATTATCGAGCGAACCATCGGCCAGTCGAGTAAGGCACAGGGATTCTCATGTGCGAACTTAACACGATATGTGTAGAATAAATAGAGACAGACATTACATAAGAATCACAGTCTGCAGAACGAAGATATGTGACATATCGAAAAATAAGAATCCCACTGCTGCTCTAATTTCTCAAGACCCTCTCTGCCTTATTTAGGCCTTTTACGGCTTCCGATTACCAAAAAAATTCTATAGAATAAGTCAACTTCTGAAAACCCCCCTATAGATGCGCCTATGGCCACCGCCAGTCGAAATGATTCATTCATTTAGACAACTATTTTGGTCGATGCATTATTATAGAAAAAGGTTGAAACATTGGTATTGTATATATTAATAAAGTCTGGAATGTTCAAGAAACACCATAGGGTTCTCAACGGGACGGAGCCTAGTGGATAAACTACAAAATATACAAGATGTCTCAAAATTCCGTATACATAAAGCAACTGTATGTTGTTGAAATCAAATTAAGTCGATTATGTAAAAATTACCTATATCCCAGAGTACTTCGTTTGCCAGTGAGGAAGCTTCAAAGTTGACAGAAAATTTTCCTTTTTATTAATACCTCAAAAACGCTTCGTTCGATTTAAGTTTGGTATGTAACTATTTTAATTAAAGAGCCATTATTCAAAGCAAAAATTACACCAACTGAAATCATGAAAGAATAAAAACCACCCTAATCAATGACATCATATATATTTTTTTTTTGATGTTCGCCCGTTTCTTCTTTTTGTCTTTTACAAAAAAAAGATGGTATTTGAATAAAAAAAATTTATTGACTGATGGTGACTTAAAATTTTCAAGAAAATTAAGTTGGCGGTTATTAACTGACGCAACATTGTCGCTTTTAACATTATTACAATAAACAAAAAATTATCAATAAAGTGTCAAAACGATCTACGTTATGCAATCAGTTACATTAAATAGAACATTATGCAACTGATTACGAAAAGTTGATTATATCACCAGTTACAAAATGAAAATAAATAAAAATGCCCTTTTTTTTATTTTTAAATCAAGATTTACATTGCTTTTGAAAGGTTAATATCGAAGAAAGAAAGGTTGGCAATATATAAAAATCCATTCTAAATTTGCACAAAATCATTCAAACACTGTTTTACATAACACTGTCATGACTTTATAGAGAAAAAATACTAAAAATATCAATATTCATGTACTTATGCAAAATAACATATTTTCTTAAAAACCAGTTTAAAAAGGAAATGAAAACTGTCCTATTGATATTTGAAAATAAAAACTATCAAAATAAATTTGAAAATTCGGAAACAAATCTCAAAAATCCCCTTACGAATTATTAAGACCATCCCCGGACCCCAAAATGTGAAAACAAATATTTGTAGATTTAAAAGTATCAAATAAGCAGGGCTGGTATATCTAAGGAAATCGCGACACAGCATCCATCTTGAACGGCATTTTTTCCGAAATAGTAGTCGCCATGCCTGCCAATATAAGAAAAAAAAATCACCATTTTTTTTTTAATACATTTTCATTATAAAATACCCGGATTTTTTAGGATAACATATTTAAATTTAATCAATTATTAATACTCTCAAATGTACATAGAAAAGTAGATTCCAATTTTGTGCTGTTTTGGTTTGGTTTAATTTGAAAGGTAATGTGAAGAGATGAAGACAATTTTCTTATAGATAAGCGTGCAGAACAAATTGTGGCTCTATTTTTTAGAGCTCCAGTACTCTAAGTCTACTTATTTTGGGTTTTTTTTTTAAATTGATGGTAGGTATTATTCACTTCATTTGTATGTTTTTATTTAATTTGAATAATAATTTTGTGTAATATCTTGTGATTTGTTGTCTATATATTTTAGCATGTATTTGTTCGCTACATCTTAGAAAGAATAGCTTTGAAATACCTTTACAACAGAGATACTTTCCTAAAACTGAACTAAATTTAAAAACGATTGCAGTACATGCAGAAAATATCCAGTAAAAAAGAAACATTTGTTTGCATGCAAAATAACAGTACTTACAATAGGTCAACAGAGCTGGCAAAAAAGATCGACATACCTTTGTTAATATTTCAGTTTAGTTATCGAGCAAAATATTTCAGTATCTTCAGAATTATAAACTTATGAAAACTATAATTGGAAACATGTATGGCTTTAAATAGGAATTTGTCCAAATTAGCACGTCTAGTGAATATTACATTTAAAAATGTACTTATTTTTAATCAACTTCTAAGCTTCTACTTTAATAATAACCATATAGAAATACATGTGTATTTTAAAGTATAAAGGTACGTTTACATCTGACATTTATTGCATTAGATTTATGTTTGACAGTTGTTTAGTCCAGTGTAAACACACAAAAATTTCTCTCGGAGATATATGTTGGAGTATTTACATTGGACTAATCAACTGTCAGACATAAATAGCATGCAATAAATGTCAGATATAAACGTAGGAAGATTCAGATGAAAATGTACCCACAATTTATAAGCATTATTAAACTAAATTAAACCAATTTCAAATAACACTTGTTTTTTATTAAAAAAAAACATGTTAAATATATAAATTAGTCTCAACTACCCACATTTTTTTTGTTTTTACTTCTAGTGGTGAAGTCTACATTTAAAAAAGACTACCAATTCATAGTCTTTTAAGTTTATTATTTAAGGAGACGCTACTACAAAATATCCTATTGATGATAACTAATTTTTCTTTAATTATGGTTTTGCATTTATCAACATTTAATTACTTTGTTAATATAAGACATCTATATAGTTCTTAATTAAATTACACATATTTACAACATTTAAATCAAGTAATTACATTTTCATATTCAACTTATGTATTTTTAATATTCTTATTGGTACTTAGTCACTTTAAAATGTTGAAAGAGAATGTCATAAAGATAAAATTCCTTCTACTACAGTGTTGCCCATGCAATTTTAAGTTCTAAATGGTTTGTCCAACACATTTTTCACCATTTATCCGAAGCAATAATATGAAAGATATAAATCCTGGATTTACAGCTTGCAGCATCCAGTTTTAATATGAGATTGATAAGAGGAATGCAGTCACAATGCAGTTTTAGAGATAATTTTCACATGAACACTTATTTACTTCAGCACAAACGCATGTACCTATTCGTGTAACACAAAAATAAAGTGGACATAAATTGCATAATTTGGTATATAAAGAGATACAAAATGATTTTAGTTTTTATTTCACTAAGAGAAAAACATTAGTTCATTCCACTTGTACCATATTGACATTGTGCACGTTAAAAGTAAATTTGTCTCTGTTTTTATAATACTATTACCGCAGGACAAGTGTTGCCAACTTAAACTGACTACTATTTCCCCACTAGCCTCAGTCACCGCTTCATTTATAATCTTAGTCTATGTCGTGACCCCCTTAGATATACCAGCCCTGATATGGGTATAGGGAATTTTTATATGACTTTTAAAGTAAATAAAATTTTCTTCGCATTGGTTCTATAAAATAGAGGGCGTTCCATTTAAATTAACGCAGTAATTAAATAAAACATTTTACTGCAATAAAACTTCAAATTACAATCATCCCATACATTTTATGAATATTTTAATGATTCTGATAAAAAATTACATTTTGCAAGAAACTGCCAAAACATCCGTTAGTTAATGGGAATTCCTAAGCCATTTCTGTCTAAGCAAGCGACTTTCAAGTCTGTGCCAGCCGACTCATGCTCGAATCGATGGAATCTTCTAGGTATGCCGCTGACACTTCGATAAACTGCTAGAACGGGCGGTGCGTGCCGTTCAGTCGGCGATGAAATTTTCGGGAGCGTCTAGAGACTTCTCGTAGCAGGGTTGGACTTGGTATAAATAGCCCGACTTATCGGCGAACAGTTAGTTGAGAATAAAGTGTTGGGTAGAAAAGCTAAATTGTAATAAATAAATTAGAATTGTGAGTTTTATATAAGTATTATATAAATTAATTACTACGTCACAAATAAATAATAAATAGTGTGTTTTAAATAAATAAACTCTAAATAAATTAAACTGTCATTACAATATTTTATAATAAAGAGTAATTAATTAATTTCGAGAGCACTACATTTTCAATAAATGCCAAATAAAACGGCAATTAACAAAGATAGGTATAGGAAATCTTTATTAAATTAAGATTATTGTTAAGAATCGAATAAATATTTAAGGGGGTAAAGTTATTAAACTTTTTTTGCATTTCATTTATATTTGATTTTGTGAAAGGGGAACCTTTCAAGAATATTTTGAGAAAATTTGATATGAATCGGAACAAAATTAACGAAGATACAGCGGTTTGAGCAACCGCGCTACTATTACCTGGCAGCTGTTTCGCTCTCTATATAATTCCTAATCTTACCTTCTACCTTTCTTTATAGAAATTTGAACACAAATACAAACGTGTTTATACATGTACTGTATATAATTTAGTGTAGCATTAGCCTGGTAGGTTCTTTTGCTTTACTAACAACCTCCATGCAAAACATAGGAATCAGTAGTGGATCAAGCGCTCATGATTAAGGATTCGTCGTAGACAGGAGCGAAAAGATGCTTTAGACATCATGGATGATAGCAACATCATCATCGATGATTCAGTGTGAGAAAAGCCGATAAAACTCGCTTATGAACGTTTTATTTCAAATCTTTTAGTGTTCAAAACTTCAAAACATAATTTACGAGGTAACGCTGAAGAGTTTTTTTCAAATTTATTAATATTTTTTTATTTTATACTAGCAAATTAGCCTATTTTTTTGCAAGAATCGCGTTTTTTATTTCAAAGAGTTCCCAAAAATTGAAAAATTGACATTTTGAAAAACCCTCCCAGCGTTACTTGGGGAAAACGATTATCTAACGAAAGAAGTTTGATTTTTTTATTTCTGATGATCCAGCACCGAGTTGGGAGGGGCACCGTAATTCTACAAAGATTTCCGAGACGCTTCCGAATAATTGCTGTCATTTTCGTATTTTTTTAATATTTCTACATGAAAATTTTATACAATATTCTTTGAATGGTATACTTTAATGTACCATTAGTTTAAATAAACAGATTTTAACTGTGTGTCGTCAAAAATAATTCACAAAAACGTGCCTTTTTTGCACGAATTAACCACTTTACCCCCTTCCCCCCTTAACAACTCTGACAATTACATCGTGACTTTTATTATCACTTTCAATGTCATTTCACATATCAATTTTTACATACTAACTAACAACCTATTACCCTACAGATTTAAAATTAAAAGAAATTATACCATTTAAAAAAATATAATTTTACATTGACATTCTAATTTGGGACGCCACGTATACATGAAATTAATTTTAATTTGTAGCCGTCGTTGATTTGTATATTTGTATCAAAGAAATTTTTGATATCCTTTGTAGTTTATTCACCAGGCTCAGTCCAGTTAAGCCTAGCGCACACTGTATAAATAAGACCGTTTTGCCATTTGATTCAGATTTTAGTTAAAATATCGTTCTGTTCAGATAAATATTGTCAAAGTAAATTAGTGTGTAAGTATTTGAGATAATAAATTAAGTTATAAAATAAATTAGTGTTTTATTAAAAATAAATAAACAGTTTGAATAAATAAACGTTAAGAGCAAACATTGAACATTTATAATTAATTCCTTCAGGGCCTTTATTTATAGACCGATTTTTGTGAAATTTTCAGGAAATACCAATAATAACAAAACTTAGGGTGAAGAAATCATGAATTTTTTGTAAACCTTCGCAAAGTATTTATTTCGAAGAATGTTTATATAAATCTATGAAAATTTGTTGCTATTTGCTTTAATAAATATCTAGTAGTTTTTAAATAGGAGGATTTTCCATCAGTTTTTTTTTAAACGTCTCTGTATAGTGCTTTCCTTATCGTTGCATAAATTTAAAGCTCTCAATATTCTCGAGGCAATAATAACGTGAATTATTCCCAATGGCGTGCACATAAATATAATTTTATATTAGAAAATCCTTAAAACATTTTTTTCCTTTACGGAAGGTCCGATTTGCTATTAAAATATACTTCAATATTTCGATTTATTTAGAAACAATATGTATGCTTCAATATACCAGAAGAAAAAAAGCAGAAAGGAGCAATCAATAATTCAGCATCAACAACTGCGGTTAACGTATGTATATTTTACAATAATTGGCTTTTTGTTCCATTTTGCTCGATTAACCACCCTGTATATTCTTTTATCAAAGGAGATATAATAATTGCAATAAAAGAGAAAGTTAACAATAATTTAAAATGGTTTCAAACTTATATTAGTCCTGTATTTAATTATTGGAAAATAAAACAATAACTTTACCAGTAATGTCACGTTATTGTTTTAATTCCATAAATTAACAAATTACACATTAATAAAAAATATTCAAATAAATAATGATGGAAAATTTTCAATAGGAAACCGATTTTTATTTTCTTTAAATTCAAATTCTGCATACACTTCATTAAATATTCTAATCATAGCAAATATCACTTTCAAATAGATTTTAAGACCTTGACTAATTCCGATTATTTTTATGTCTAATTTACAAGGATTTTTACATGAAATAAACCTTAAAACGTTTGTTTAATTAATTACTTATAGGTTGATTATGTAGAAAATACTTAATTTAGTAATGAACGGGGAGAAGAGGAGAAAACAACTATCAAATCTATTTTCGTTTTTGTCAAGTTGTTTTGAAATAACATAAATTATTTCCTAAAACTTTCAAGTAAATGAATTGAATTTATTGTTTTTACTCACCCAAAGAATGGTATTCTCAAATTATCCCCAGCAGCAACAAGTGGAGAACGAATATCATTATTCAATAGAATAAAAGATATAAGTATATAATCCAAATGAGACCTGTGCAATGGTAAGAATATTAGAGGTAAACTGGATTTAGCAGCCTTTTTTAACATCTCCACTTGACCCGGATGCACTACTACTGATGTCAAGAAACATGGAAGAAGTTTGTAACACACCCAAGAAGTAAATCTGAAAATAAGAAAAAATGGATACATAATAATCAAATAATGTTGTTTGTATTTGCTCATTACAAGCCGTTGTCAAATTAAATTTTAAAATTATTCAAAAACTCTAATAATGAGCCATGTTCAAAAATTTTGGATTTTTTTTTAGTAAAATTATAGCAAATTTCTAACCAATAGACACAATTTAAGTACTCAAAATTATAATAAAAAAAGGGGTAAAAACCTTACAACCATTTAAACCAGTAACTGAAGTTTATGTACAATTAAAACACAAATCTGAGTGGTTGCCAGGTATTATTTTAAAACAAATAAGGGACCGAACATATCAAATCAAAATGAAATATGGTTAAATACTGATACGCAATAGAAAATTTATAAAACTTAAATTATATAATCAGGTCGAAACAAAATTGAACCATGTTCCGTTACAAACTGAAATTGAAGAAAGGGAATTAGACAGTAGAAAATACTTTATAGAATTAGATTTTGAAGAAGATAGAGAAGAGGAATAACAGAATGATGCGAATGAAGAAAGTGACAGTGCCGAATATGAAACAAATAAAGACAGTTCGAAACTAGAAGTAGTGTCAAGTGAGGGTAATACTGTAAACGCACAGAGTCAAGGCTCTGAGGAGACTTATGTAAATCGACCAACAACTAATTTCTTAGGTCGTATGGTAAAGGCTCCTGAGAGGCTGAATCTGTAAAAGGGGGATGTTAAGTAGTAAAAGGCCAGTGACCTACTCTGGCAACACCGCCTGCGAGCGGACAGTTGACATTGGACAATTGTAGAATGATAGTTATTAATAAATGGCTGAAGTGGAACCACGCTCTTTTAATTTCCATATTATTCAAGTGACTGGTGATTATACTAATTACAATCACAGTTATACACTATACAATTTTAAAATTTCAGACAATTCCCACACAGGTCACTTTTCCATAAGGTTCGAGCAGGGTTCTTTGTCCTTGACAAAATATTTCCAAAAAATCTTTTGGATTCTGATAAAAAAAACTATTTGATACGCCCATGGAGATCACAACTGTCAAAAGTTCGTAGATACTGGCTTCAAACAAAACATATTATCACATACTTTTATTACTATACGAGGCAAGAGAGAGGTCCGACACGCCCAACATAGGGCGCGGCCATTTTGAACCCTGTGACACAGTTTACAGCTAAAGAATCAGATCGCTCACTCTGCGTCGGCACTTTTGATCTCAATGTTTCAGTTTATACACTGTGCAACTCGGATAATACAATATATGAGAACCGCCTACAATAAAACAGCAGTCTTCTGCGTATCCTGAATTTGTATCCCTGGAATGGATGTTATTTTGAAACTTTCAACTGGTCCGAGTGAGCTAACTGATTCTTTAGCAATAAACTGTGACTTCAAAAATAATATTCACTGACACTGACAGCAGCAAGCAAAATATCAGGTGCGTTTTAATCATCCGCTTCTGCTTCCGGAATTGTCGGTTTAGTCGTTTTAACCTGTCAGATTAAAACAAGAAAACCGACAATTCCGAAGTAGAAGCGGATGATTAAAACGCACCTATTAAAAATATTGCGCCAAGATGTAGGCAACACGTAATAAGGGTTCAAAATGGCGGAGTTTCTATCTCCTTTTAAAAGGCACTCAGAAAGCAGCGCAGTGCGACCATTCTTCGTATAGTAAAAGAAAATCAAAGTATGTGCATATTATGCTAAACGGCGCGCGCTACATATATTTCATTTATTTATCTAAGACTAAAATTTATTGTCGCCTCTGGTGTTCAAAACTATGACCAATAATTTGGTGATAAAATGAAGTTACCAAATTTCTTTTTTAACGTTTTATATTGGATTAATTTTTTAAAAAATGAATCGGAAGACCTTTCACCAAATACAATATGAGAATTATCTTTCAATTTAAAATTGTTAATACCTAGCTGTAAGTTACTTTAAAATATTGTATGTATCTTTAGACGATAAAGTAACATATTTTGTTGATTTTTCTTAATATCTTTTATCTTTTTCAAATATTAAAATACGAATTAATATTATTTACGTGTTTTTACACAATAATCAACCTTACGTTAACCTTCATTTAATTTTCATCGGGTCACCTTATAGAGTTACGGCGATTCAAATTCGATTTAGATTACCAATCCACAAAAGTTAGTCTGATTACCAATCAAATATTCTAATCGCAAGACAGTACCTCAATAAAAAATCCGATAGTGTCGACCTCATATCAAATAACAATTTCTTCGCACGTTGTCGATTGTTCTTTAATAACCTCTGATAAAATTCCTCGTCGCTGTTATTGGAATCGTGAAATTGTTGAATCGTCGTCTTCTCGATGGCGTCCTTAAGACGGCCATCCTGCAAAACTAAATCGGCCACTTGGGGAAAGTTGTATTTTTTGAGTTGGCACACTTGATGCAGATGGGAGAACGTTCGTTGAAGGAATCCATTCGAGTTTGTCGGTAGTTGATAGTCGAGGATGTTTTTTAGAGCTAGAGTTTCGGTAGTTTTGTTAACGAGCGATTCCTGTAAAAGAATAAAAATTATTTAGTTCAAAATTCACACAAGTTTGCAATAAATTATAATTCCAATTATTAGATGAATGATCTATTTATTGCAATAAATAAGATAAATGTATTTCCAATATGTTTGATCTCATGCAACTTTTAAAACTAAGGGTGAGATTACAGAACGTCTGCAACTTTGCAGATCTGCAAATATGGCGGACTTACAGATGCAAGTATCAAGTTTTCGTATTTCAAAAAATATCTGCAAATTCACATTATTTATTGTGGTTTATTACCCCCAACAACATTAAATCCAAATACACCCTTAAGAAGGTTAGAACATCCTACAAACTTGCAGATTGTCAATTTTTACTTTACTTTTTTGTGTTCCTTGTTCTTTTTGATTGAATACTGTTCGTAGTGTCAGATTATCGAGTTTTAAACATAGTAATGGATTTGGGTTTAGTGTTGTAAGTCCGCCTTATTTGCAGATCTGCAAAGTTTCAGACGTTGTGTAATCTCACCCTAAAGGTACCATTTTGGTAGGCGCGACAGACGACCGCCGACGCGACATACGACCACCGACGCGACATACGACCACCGACGCGACATACGACCACCGACGCGACCGAGAAGTGCCGCTTCACATCTAAAATACGTACAATTATATGAAACACAGTTCGCACGGCGCGACACGAAAAGTGTCGTCAAGACGACACTTCCTGGAGACACTTCTGAATCTGCCTCGGGGCAAAGGTTTGCTGCGTGTCGCACTCGGGGTCACTGTCCTCGAGCATCGGTTCATTTTGAGGGTGATTAGGATGGAAATTTCTTTCGATCTAGGCAGCGTTGCCAGATTTTGGAACAGTATGTGTAAAAAAAACCGTAGATTTGAACAGTAGATTTTAATACAGGGGGAAATAATTATAATTTGCAGTATAGTAAATAAAAAAAACAAGTATATAAGAAACGAAAAATAAACTTTTTTCTACCCAAATTAGAAAGTAAACAAAGAATAAAAACATTTTCATTATATACTTAACGTATGGGAAAAAAACCAATGAAAAATAATGAGTACCTACTTCTTTTAGATCAGTCTGAATCAGATAATTCAAAATCGTAGTATTTGGCATATGCATGTTCTTTTTATGATGCCCTATTAATTCTTTGTTTCATTTTAAATAAAAACAATGATTATCTTGATGTTTTTTTTTTTTATGGAGCCAACCTATAGTAGTGGATGCTTATTACGCTGCTTTTACTGCAGAAAATTTACTAGAGAAAATATTCTTTGACCATTTGCTGAAGAATGAGGCAAACTTAATAAATTAAGAACAAACTTTACTAGAGACAAAAACACTGGATCTATGTAAAAACAGTAGGTCTGGCAACGCTGATCGTTCCCTCGAATGGTTATTTGCAAGTGTCGCGCGACACTTCTTCAAGCTTCCGAAATGTACGGAGCGTAACATTTATGCATCTGTCGTCCTACTGGTCTCCTCAGTGGTCTCCTGTCTCCGGACGCGGCTACCGAAATGGTACCTTAAATCTTTATCTTCGGCAATGTAAATTTATCTTCGATTTATTACCTCTGTTTTCGTTGTACATCGACCTATTTAAAACATTTAATAACATTTAAAGTTCGACGCAGATGTTCTAGAAAATATACAGAAGTTGAACGGGTTTTTAGCACACTCCATACCAAGGATTTGACAGTTTTGTCGCGGAGCTAATAATAATTTCGTGTATAACAATTTTTTATTGTTTCAAATGTAAGAGAAGGTTGCCGGTTTCAGCTCAAAGGCCATCATCAGGTCTTTACACAAACAAGGGAACATAGTCAAAACCTAGCTTAAAGTATAAGAACATCAAATCTTAATTATACGTAAACTTTTGTATATCTTCATAAACAAGTATGTAAATACGGCCGTACTAATAAGGTATTCCAGATTTGGAACTCGATTTTTTTGTCTTAGAACTTGGAAAAGAAGATTATACCGACTTAGAACTCGGAAAAATCAATTTATCTGTAATAGAACTGGGAAAAGTAGATTATTTCGACTTAGAATTCCGAAAAAATCGATTTTCTGTCTTAGAACTGAGAAAAATAGAGTATTCCAACCTAGGACTCAAAAATATAGATTATTCCGACTTACAACACCGAAAAAATCGATTTTTTTGTCTCAGAACTTAGAGATACAGATTATTTCAAATTAAAACTTGGAAATATTAATTATTCAGACTTACAACTCCGAAAAAATAGATTTTTCTGTCTTAGAACTGAGATAAATAAATTATTCCATCCTAGAACTCAAAAATATAGATTATTCCGACTTAGAACACAAAAAAAATCGATTTTTCTGTCTCAGAACTCACTTAGTTAACTAACTTAATATACTTTAAAATCATTTCAATTCATTTTAACTTATTACAGAAATGCACCACACAAATTCAGATAATTTCACTGCTCAACTCAGAAGGGCACTTCCTCTAGGGCACGGTACACGGGGAGAGTTCTATGGCTTTTCCCCGGTTACTCTCGCCCCAGAGCAAAATGCCACCTTGTGGAGACAGCGGAACTCGGCTATAAATTTAAATGATTTCCATAATTTTCAAATTAACGATACTACCCGACGGTTTGCCAAATTCCCACCGTCTGGGCCCAAACCTACCCTGAGAGTACCCAATTCGTTAGAATTGGGACTCCAATCACTATGTACCCCCATCGAGCGTCGGCCTACACACGGCAAATGTAGGTCAGGGGGAAGTTTCCCTGGTGAAGTGGTTCACAGTGATAGTGATTTCGAGGAGTTCGCTACGCTCTCCGAATTATCCACCAGTACGGCCATGTTTCCCTCACGGCCCCTTCTTAGCGAAAGAGCGGGGTCAGGGCAAAACGACCTTCACCCGAGCGAGACCCGACGACAGAATGATATGTAGGAGAAATAATTTATAAAGTTTTAAAAATGTGGATACAGATTCTCAATAGTGTGGTGTCACAAGAAAATGCCTCATGTCAATTCTGAAGTTGTCACTTGTCGCGCTATGACGGCCCGTCGGTCGATTGTCACGGGCATTGTGATGGCATGTTGTTAATGTGAAAAATATAAAATGTTTCAATAAATCAATTGTTATTTTAATCATCGGATGTATCCCCATAACGTTTAGAACAAAACACAATAAATAGACGTCTGAGGGCCGGTGCTCACGAACGTTTGTTGCAGTTGCGTCGACGCAACAGTCGGTGGCGTTGATAAAGTCAGAGGATTCACACGATGCAACATCGACTTACGTCAACGTCATAGAATGTTGTTAGCGCGATTATAAAAATAACATCGGTCGTTACCTTCACGATGCCACGTCTCAGCGGTACATCGGCGTTGCAAAGATATTATTGGTTTGTATCAAAAGTACACCTGAAACCCAGTAGAAAAACTTTGTAGCTATAGGCGATGAGCAGTTGCTAAACGAAACTGTATCTAAATTGTTTATTCGTAATTTAATGAACATAAATTAGTACACGAATCCAAATTTTGCACACAATGGGTTGACCTGAATTATTGTAAAATTAGTAAAACAATATCATGCAAATTTTGAATATAAACCTATATAAAAGTTACTTAATTTTTTAAAAGTATGGTTTTGAAATGTTTCTTTATCCCTTTAATTATTCACTTCACCTGACAAGTTATAGGTCATCGAGATCACCTGAGCAACAAAAAATAGAAAATACAGAAATAAGCATATTCCAAGAGAAGTATTTATGTTTATAAAATTCTGATCATTAAATAAACTGAATGCAATTTAGTTAATTACTCTGTATATCTAGTACCGTATTGTGTTTTTTCCTTTGAATGGTCCAGATAATATATCCTTTGAATAACACTTGCTGCCACGCGTCACGGCAAATTATCAAAATGCCACGCTTTTACTCAAATGCCACATGCCACGCTAAATAACCATTATTTATAGATAATGATTTTTTAAAGAGCTAAGAGCTTTTTTTTAGAAAAAGGATCTGTTTTATAAAAATATATATTATATATTTTTCTCCACAGAAAGGAACTGTTTTTTCATCTCTCACACTTTTCTGTTTCGTAAATCTGGCAACCGTAGCTGTAAGTGAAACTTTCTTGACATTGACATACGTCAAAAAGTTACTAATAAAGCTACTAGTACGAAAAATAAAAATAATTACACAAAGAAATAAAGATGGTATAATAGAAAGAGATGAAAATAAAAAAGTTAAAATTTAAAAAAAATCCGAATAAATAAAAAAAATTAGACAATAAATATATTCAAATTATTAATGTAGTATGGTTTTTAATATTAGTTCATAATAGGAAAAAAGGTTGAACTCAATGTTGATTCTTTTTATTAGATATCTGACACATTGTGTGAAAAAAATGTAAATAATCTACACATAAAAAAACAAATGTCGACCTTTGACATTTTGAATCATTAGCCTTTGTGCAGTAGCTAGATATACTGTAAATAACCTTATCACTTATCACAAGTTAGACAAAAGCGAATTTTAAATATATGCTGTACGATTTATTCAGTGTTTACTTTTAGAGTAATTTGTAATATCTTTGTTTGAACTTTGAATTTTATCATTTTTTTTTCTAACTATAAGTTGATAACCTCGTTGTCCGCAAATTATGTCAACTTTCGAATAGTTTGATTACACTGGTCGTTAAAAAAAATCGGTCCCCAACAAAATGTTTGCTCTTTCTTATGTAAAATGATCTGAATCCGAATATGAGCCCCCTCCTCTTTGTCGAAAAACGTTATTAATAATATTTTCATAATAAGAAATAATCAACGAATCTTTGTCGAAAATATCTTCCAAGATAATTTATAGTATGCTTAATCCAGATTCCGTAATGATATAATCATGTACGGTAGTATTAAGATTTATTTATACTCCCTTATTATTAGTATTATAATTAAGCATTAAAATGGACTAAATATTCAAAAATGGTATTTATACTCGTTTTATAATTAGCATTAGTGCTT